CCGAACCCCCCCGCCGTCGGATTCCTGGCCCGGCCGCCCCCGCGCACCGTTCACAGAACACGTGCTCCTCCTGGTCATGGCCACGGGGGCACGTGCCCCGTGCCGCACTCGTGCAGGCGGAACTTGCGGGAGCTGTCACCCGCCATTCTCCCACTGATGCCGCGTGCGGTCATTCATGTGGCGGTGCCGGTTGAGGCCAAAAAAACTCTGGCGGGCCACCACGACGCCCAGGACGGCAAGCTTGCCGCCATCCATCGCCACCAGCTGCTAGTGACCAGCCGCTGGGCCCATCGGGGGCCCCGGCAGCCCCATGTGCCGTCGGGGCCAGGCCGCGGAGGCAGGCAGCGTCCCGTCACCGTCGCCTTGCCGTTCCCAGGCCTCGGGCATCGTCGCGGGAGAGCTGTGACGGTCAGCGCCGGCTGGGAGGGCTGAGGTCGGGTGTCATTGGTTCGAGCCGTTCGGGAGGTAATGTTACACACATCGAAATAGAAAAAACGCCATAAACATAAACTTTTGGCGCTCCGCGCGAATTTCTTGGATCGGCGCACGGGGCCCCCCGGCGACGCCTCCGGCGCCGCCCCGTGCGCCAGGGAGGGGGGCTCCATGCGCAGATCCAAGAAATCCGCGCGGAGCGCCGAAAGTTTATTTGTATGGCATTTCTCTTCGTCCAACACAGGTTTCGTGCCTTGTCCCTCTGGGCTGCCTTCTCCACATGGGCATTGGGTGCCGAAGTCGGGGCTTTCCCCTCCCGACTGGTCCTGGTCGTGCCCGTTCAGGGCCCAGGGCGGACCCCCCAGCCGCCTCCAACGTGACGGGCGCGTTTCACAGGTGTTGCGCATGGGATTTGCTCTGGGGCAATGGGGAGAAGGATGCGCGACTAGAACAGTGTTCGAAGGATGATGGTCGCGAAATGTGAAGGAGCATCTTCTACCGCTGCTGGCAGGGGGTGGATGCAAATCCGGGAAAATATGTTCTCCGATGAACTGATCCATTCCCCGGTGAATTGATCAACTCCCCGGCTGTAGGTTTGTAAGTTTCAGACGCTTCGGAAGTTTCAAAGGAGCTCCTTGACAGTTTCTCAGGAGCTCCTCAGCGGTCTCTACGGAGTTCCTAGTGAGCTCCTCGGCAGCTTCTGAGGAGCTCCTTGGAAGCCTCTAACATGCTCCTTGGCAACTTCTAGAGAGCTCCTTGGCAAGAACCCCTCAGGAATCCTCAGGGATCCGAAGGAATCTTCCAGACTTCTCAGGTTTCCTTTGGGATCCCCAAGGAGTCTTCGGAATCCCTTCGGAATCTTTTAGAATCCTCAGGGGCCCGAAGGAATCTGCAGGAATTCGTGCGAATTCTCGGGCACCCCTTGGAAGTCCTCAGAAATCATCAGGGCCCCCTGAGGAATCTGCTTAAATCAGTTTAAAGAAACATTTAGGGACCCTTACGGACTCCTCCAGGAATCTTCAAAACTTGCGTATCGGTATCTTTTGAAACTTGCCAGGAATCTTCCGGAATCTGTCAGTAATCTTAAGGAACCGGAGCCATATGGGATCCCTTAAGAATCTCTTGGAATCCGGAAGAATCATCAAGAACCCTTCGAAATGTTCGGGATTCCGCTGGCAGGAGCCGCAAAAACCCAGAGGAGTCTTCACGAACCGTCTGGCATTCTACACAATTGCGATGAATCCTCCGGAATCCGTTTGGATGCAATAGGAATCTTCCAAAATCCGCCGGAGTTCAGGAATCATCTGGAATCCTTATAGGAAGTCCTCAGGAATGTTCGGGGGCCTCGTGCACGGTTTTTCGGGGCCTCTTGGGGGCCCCTCGCAGTGAACTCTGGGCCTTCTGATGGGGTTTTTGGGGGCCGCTTGGGACCTCCTGGGGTTTGTTTCGGGACTTGTTGGGGCCTTTTCACGGCGCCTCGTGGGGTTTGGGGGGGCCGTTGGGGCCACTCGGTGGCAACCAAAAAAACAAATGTCAGTTCGGTTCCCCCCCTCTGCCCCCCGTTGCGTTTGTTGTTTCCAAAGTTGCCTAAACGCTTCTGCATACAGTTTGGATAAGTGTTCGGTACTTATTGCATACGTTTGGCATGCGACTTGTACATGTTGTGGATGCGTGTTGCACACATTTGGCTTACGGCATGCATACACTTCGTATACACGTCGTATGCGTTGTGTGTACATGTTGTATACACGACGTGCACGTGTTGTACAAGTTGTGTAGCCGGGGGTGTACAAGTTTTGCAGGCGCGTCGTTTTCGTTCGTATAACTTGTATGTATGTATGTGTATACAGAACGTGTGACTATATATACCTGTACGCACAAATATTGTTTAACTTATGTATATATATAGAGGGAGCTATACACATACATATACAAAAACATGTATGTGTATACGCAAGGTTCTATATATATATATACCCATACACACATGCATGTGTGTGTCGTACACGAGTTGCGAATGCTTTATTTATGAATTCGAATATATGATTGGATACGTTGTTTATGCATGCTGTACGCGTTCGGTATATGTTGCGTTCCCGATCCGTATAGTTGCCGTATGATGTTGTTGTTACGTGTTTGTATACTGTTGCTATACGTATGGGATACGTGTTGTACACGTGGCGGGAAGGTGTCGGGTACGCGATGGATGCATACATACATATATACATACATACACACATACATACACATGTATATGCGTGTGCGCTGTACGGTTCGCAAACTTGTTGTGTACGTTGCGCGGACGTGTCGTATGCCGATGTATTGTATACGTGTTCATTACATCCCGTATGTGTCGTATACGTGCCGGAAGCGTTTCGTATACGGTATGACGCAAACGTGTCGGAAACGTTTCGCCTATGGTTCGGACGCTGTTTGCAGACGTTTCGCCTACGTGTTGGATTCGTGTTGTATTCGTTTCGTAGATGGTTCGTACACAAGGTCATATAGGTCCATGTGCGTGCCCCAAGCGTTTCGTACATGTTTCGTATACGTCTCATACACGTTCCGTATACGTATCGCGTATTTCCCGATACGCTACGTATGCGTTTCATGTGCGTTTCCTTTAGGTTGTTTTACGAGTGTGGTACGTTTCGTGTATGCTGCATGTGCGTGTCCGATACGTTCGTATACGTTCCACCCACGTTTCGTATACGTCCCATAAGCGCTGCGTTCACGGATCATGTATTTCATGTATATGCTGCATACGAGTCGTATACGTTTCATACACGTTGCGTTTATGTTTCGTAGACGTGCCATATACAGTTCGTATACGTTTGGACTACGTGTCAGATGCGTTCTGTACTCGTTGTATGCACATGTCACTCGTTTCATATACGTTGATATTGTTATTGTTATTGCATATGCAATTACCACTCGTTTCATATACGTTGATTATTGTTACGCGCATCGACATACATTCCTTGTTTTTTTTCAAAACCCAAACAGTTGCACATAGGCTTGCCAGCTTGGTTTACAAACATTTGCAGGACGACCCCGTCCGAAACGTTCGCCAGAGGAGCGCCCGCAAACGGTACATTGCCCGGTACCACCAGGGAATGTGCAGTTTGACAGGTTATGTACCAAATCACCGGGATATGGATAAGAAGCGCTGAAACCCCTAAGCGGAAACCAAAAGGGAAAGGACGGGGGTCTGGATCGCTCCCCAGGGGAAAGTATGGGGCTCTCCAGGAGGGGGGCCCTTTGGTTTCTGACCCCCCTTGTTTTGAAGTGTTTCAAGCCGGCGATGCTGGGTCGCGCTCCCCAGAGATGTCGCGTGTTCCAAGGCCCATAGCGCGACACAAGCACAAATTCGAAGGTCCTGGTTGTCGTCTTTCTGGTCCCGCCAGGATCGTCTGAGCGGCTGTCCTGCCATTTTGGGCGACGCGGAAGAACGGGGCCGTCTGCGCCGATATTGGCACGTGAGCTGCCGGCGTAGAGCCGCGCGTAAGCGCCCTTGTCTCCGATGCATCGTGCCGCGCTGGCGGCCCGCGAAAGCCACCGCGTATGGTCGCTATGCCATCTCGCGCAGGACCCGTTTTTGATCGTCGCCCATTTGCTTCCTGGTAACCAGGGGCCAGGGCATGTGGGTCGGGCCGCCAGGGCACGTGTGGCGGACCGGCCGGCACAGGACGGACCAGCGCGGAGCCGTCGTGATCCTTGGCAGACCCAACCCGTCGGTCCGACGGGGGAGCAGCCTGCAGCGCGGAATCCTCGGGAGTGTTGGGGCCGCGGGGTCCAGGTAAAGCCTTTACGGTGGAAGCCCATGCCAAGGAACACCCTGCTTGCCTCCACGATGCCCTTGGTTTCCTGGGCTGCGATGGAGGACGCGACGCTCCCACGCCAAAAAGCAATGGGAGCCTTGGGGTCTCAGGGCTGGGTTTCTTGTGGAAGGTTTCTTGTGATCGAGCTCCTACTGTATCGCGCACCCACTTCCGCTTGGAGCCACCCTCCCAAACACTCGCCTGCCACGCCCCTCGGAGGGCGGAAGGAGGGAGGGCCGCTTGCGGCGTCTGGGCGCAAGGGGGCTTCGGGCCCCGCGCAGGAGCTGGCGGAGCACTTCAACCTCGAGGACCGTTGCGCGCGCGCCCTGGACCAGCAGCTGAAGCTGCGCAAGGACACCTTCACAGAGGACATGGCAGCGATCTGGGACATCTTAGAGGGGGCCCGGAGCCCGTCGGGCCTCCTCATGGTCAAAGTCCGGGAGATGGCCGAGGGCACGTTCCGAGGTTTTTCCACGCCCGAGGAGGACGTGCAGAAGTTCGCGAAGCAGTACAAGCTCGACGTGCAGGCATCAGCGAAGCTCGCAGAGGTCCTCGCGAAACGTCAGGACCCCAAGGGCGACATGGAGAAGATTGGAAAGCACCTCGAGCGATCCAACAAGCCCTCGGCCCTAATGATGCTGATGCTGAAGGACCTGCGTCTCGGCAACCCGGTGCAGGATCTCAGCGGGCCGCAAAAAGACGCACGTAGTACAGATCATCCCCCCCAGGGTAGCTTCACACCAACCTCACCCTGATTGGGGAGGATGACGAGGAGGTCCGCGCTTGTAGAGTCGTCGGTTTCTCGGCCCAGGGCACTCTTGGCCCTCTAGATGGAGCGTGGCCAGGCCTGCAGCCGAGGGCTCCACTTCTGGGTTCCGAGACCTGCAGCCAGACCCCTTTTCTGCAATGGAGCGTTGCTGATCACCCTCGCACGCCATCTGCACAAAGCTCGCCAGTGGTCGAGCACCGAGGCGAAGCAGCAGCTCCCAGACATGTGCATGCAACTTCTTCCGCCGATGCGCCGTCCGGGCGCGGCTGTTGCGAGAGAGAGAGAGAGACAGAGAGGCCGTACGCCTCGGGCACGGGCCCAGAGATCCAGGGTACGGTGTTTTAGGCGATTTCGTGGACCGTTGTTGTTTCGATTTCGTCTTGTGGCACGGGCGGAAGGAAGACAAGACGAGAGAGAATGAGAACAAGACGAAAAGGGAGAGCACTGTTCAGCGCGAGCCCTGCATCTACCCACGGTTAGGAACTTGTGCATAGCGTATCGCCGCGGGGGGCCCGGCAACACGCTATGCCTTGCGAGCGAATAGCGTGTCGCTCCGCTCCGCGGAGCGGGAGGCTCGGAAAACTCGAGACGTCGACGCTTGGGGACCAGGGAGTGGATGGCGTATCGCGCCGAAGCGCGGTGGACCAGAACCGGCGGAGCGACACGCTATCCAGAAGTTCCCGACAGTAGTCTTGGCACTCTGCCCTCTGGGCCGCCAGCAGCGCGCTGCTGCCTGGTGGCCGCCCCAGGAGTGCAGCCACGCGCCCGCCATCGGCAGCAAGGTCCACAACCGGGAGCTCGAGAAGGAGAAGCGGGAGAAGCGGAGCAGGAGCCGCCGGGACCGAGACAGGCCGCGGCGGGGGGGGCGAGCGATGGCACGAGCGCGAGCTTGCCGAGAGCCTTCCAAGACGACCCAAGAGGCTCCCCAGGAGAGCCCCGAAAAGGCTCCAGAGGGCCCAGAGACGGCCTGAGAGTCTCCCGGATCCAGACGGGGCTCGAGCAGGAGAAAACGGAGGAGGCGGAGCAGGAGCCGCCGTGGCCGAGACAGGCCACGGCGTGGGGACGAACTCGGGCTTGAGGGACGGATTTGTTGGTGGACTTTCGAGTTTTCGGGGGTTTTCGGAGTTTGGTGCAGTCTTTATCGAGTTTTGTTGTGGAGTTTCGAGTTTTCTGAGGGGTTTTCGGAGTTTGGTGCAGTTTTCTTATCGAGCGTTCGAGTTTTCGAGGCCCGGCCGGGGTGGTTTCCTTCAGCTGCGCCTCGTCGAGAGCGCTCCAGGCGTGCCAGAATCGTCCCGAACGGCCGCCGGAGAGCAGAGCTGTGGCCGGGGACGACCGGGGAGCGGAAGATCAGGGGCAGCGTCATGGGAGGGGGGTAGGCTCCGAAGGGGCGCATCGACCCCCCAATCGCCCATCCATCGCCAGCAAGGGGCCCGATGGCCCACCCCGCCCAGGAACGTGCGGATTCGCTATTGGTAGGGGAACGAAGAATGACATCAGCATGATTAGCCTCGCGAAGGACCCTACCGTATGCAGTTGTCAGCACCGCAGTTGTAGACATCGTCTTAGGTGAAGCTCCCTATGGGCCACGGACCGCTGTACTAAGCGGGGGAGACGCATGCGAACATTGATCTCGAAGGTTCGAAGTTGCAACGGCTTCACGGACAGAGGGCGGGCCGCTTGCAGAGGTGTGGCTCCAGCCCTGGTGCACGGGCACGTCTGTTTCGAGATCACCAGCCTCCAACTTATCCCTATCCCTAAGATTGACACGCCAGAAGGCGATGACAATCTTAGGGATGCGCCCTGAAAAACTAAGGGAATCCCTAAGATTGGCATTGTGTTGAGGCGATGCCCAGCTTAGGGATAGGGATATGTTCCAGGCTGGTAACGAGAAAGTGCAGGAGCTTCACATCTGGAGGGCGGTCCGTTTTCGAGATGCAGTTCTCGCCTCAGCGCCGCGCAGAGAAGTTCTGAACATTTGCAAGAGCTTCACTGCTGGAGGGCGGTCCGCTTTGAAAATGCGGCTCTCGCCTTAGCGCCGCGCACACGCGTTATAATCAGTTACAACAGTTTCACGGATGGAGGGCGGGTCGTTTTCAAGATGAAGTTCTGATTTTAGCGCCGCGCACGTGCATTGAACAGACATTGCAAGAGTTTCACTTCTGGAGGGCGGTTCTTTTTCCAAACGTGGCTCTCGCTTTAGCGTTGTGCACATTTGTTTTAAGAGCTGACCACCGTTTCAGGGATTCTCATGGCTAACGTCCCAGAAATTGTGTTTTGGCACGATGTAGGAATGCCAGGGCGCGACAGTTACGTTGATTCGCGGTGTGCAAGTTCCAGGAATGGCGTCCTGGAGCGATTCAGGATCGTCAAGAACAGTAACGGTGATTCGCTGCGTTGAAGTCCCAGGAGTGGTGTTCTGGCGCAGTTCAGGAGTTTCAAACAGTTGTCTTCCAACGGAGCACTTCCCTCAGTGAAAGTGAACCTTTGTAGGGGCCGACGTATGAAGAGTGAATTTGGAGGGAGGGCTTGTTGCAATATCGCTGGTGAGTCTCAGGTTTACACTAGTCCTCCTTCTCCTCCTCCTCCTATTACTACTACTCCTTCCTCCTCCTCATCCTCCTCCTCCTCCTAATCCGCTCCCCATTGTTGTTCTCTTGCCACCCCTCTGCCTCCTCTTTCTCTCATCCTCGTCTGCCCTCTTCCCCCTGGTCCTCCCCCACGAGGGGGAAGAGGTAGAATAAGGACGACGACGAAGGGCAGCAGTTATTGGCAGGAGGGGCAGGAGGAACCCCTTCCCTGGAGCTCACCTGGTGCAGATCATTTCGATGTTCGGGGTGTCTAACTCGGAACGGAATCGACGTGGGGTTCTTCGGGAGACGTCCACTATCCGGCTGCTCCGATCAAAGCCAAACCAACCCTGGGGCCAGGATCGCGCCCACGCCGCGCTGGCCAAGCAAGGAGGGCGTACGTAGCCTGGGTCGGCCGCAGGGGCGGCCTGGGTGGCTGGAGAGCGCGAGAGTTGCCGCACTTCGCTCACAGTGCGATGGGCAGCGCGAAATCCTGGTGACCTTGGTTCCTCCTCCTCCTTCTCCTCCTCCTCCTCCTCATCCTCATCCTCCTCCTCCTCCTCCTCCTCCTCCTCCGTCTCCGTCTCCGCCTCCTCCTCCTCCTCGTCCACAGCTCCTGGGCCTAGGATGGGCCTGGCCAGGATCGGTGCCGGTGGATGCCGGGCCTCCCCGCGAGCCGTCGCCCTGACGACCACGACGACGACGACGACGATGACCACCACGACGACGACGACCACGACGACGACGACCACGACTGGGACGACCACGACCACGACGACGGCGGCGGCGGCGACGACGAGGACGACGCCCCCCAGGCGGAGCCGCGACGCGGGCCGCGACCGCGACCGCCACGACCGGGACCGGGACCGCAGGAGGAGCAGCCCGGCGCGCGTCGTCGCCACCGTCGCTCAGTCGTTGCCTTGGGGGGGGCCAAGATTTGGACGCCCGAAATTGGTACGGAAAGAATGGGCACGATGCCCATCAGCAGTTCCTGTTCATTTTGAACAAAACTCGCTGTCCGCGCCGCCGCGGCCTGTGTTCATTTGAGACAGGGAGCCGCCCGCCCAACAGCGGCCGCTGTTGGTTCGGGACAACATGTGCTGTTGGGTATTGTACCCATTCTTTCGGTACCCATTTCGGGCGTCCAAACAAGAGGGGGGTGGTGGCTACGGGGGGGGGAGGGGTTTGAAGACATGAGGCGCTCCAGGAAGGGCTTCGCCTTCGAGGATCGGAGGAGTTGCCATCTCTTCCTCGGCGGAAGGCGGTGGAAGGTGGCGGGAGTAAAATGTGGCCGGCTCCGCTGGCGAAGGCTGGCGGTAGTGAATGATGAGCACCCAAGAGATTTCAAGGTTTTTGGGTTCAGAGTTTCCAGAACCGGTCGAATGTGCCCAAGAGGCTTCAGACCTTGGAGGAATTGTTTTTTCTGATGATGGCGGCAGAGATTTACATGGCCATTCCACGATGGGATTTCCACTGGCTTCCAGACCCTGGATTCCTTATCCAGAGGTTCTTTATATGCCCTCACCGTGTGGGGGCGTGGATGAGGCCGCGACATCTCCTCGGGTATCATGTCCCCCTCTTCTCTCAGCACGTCCCTCAGTGCCCCCTCGTCCGCGCACATGACTCCAGCCATGATTTGCGAACCCCCCTCTTGGACGCTCCCGATTGTCGTCCCTCGCCGTCGTCTGTCGTCCGTCGTCTATAAGTCGGGGTTTGGTGAGCGAGATAGCGGTGAGACGCAGTGCCCCACACCCAATCGTGAAGTAGGTTTCGGTTTGTCTCATGCTTGCGGTGGAGTCGGATCTGCATGAGGGCTGCTTCTTTCCGCATGGCGGGCGCGGGAGCAAAGGGGAGGAGAAGCACAATAAGTACGAGAGGAGGGATGGGGGCGAAGGGAGGAGGGATAATCTAGAAAATGGACGGGAGTGAGCGGGGAGGGAGGAGGATTCAGGAACGTTAGGATTGGGATGGCACATTAAAGCCGAGGAGTGGCCCACCTCCTAAGCCGTCATCGTTGCTGGTGTTGTGGTGCAAATTGTCGTCATCATGGCGCCGCCTGTCTATCTGTCCATCTACCTCCTCGTCTCTCCCCTGCTCCTCGCTCCTCCTCCCTCCTCCCTCCAAACCCTCCACCTCATCCTCCTCCCGCCTCCGTGGCCCTCCCCCTCCTCTGCCCCCCACTCGCTCATCCTCATCATCCTCCCTCCTCCTCCCTCTCCCTCCTCTTCCTCTCTCCTCCCTCCTCTTCCTCAGTCTTCCTCCCCCGCCAAACCCCCTCCCACCTGCCGGCCCCGAGAGGAGCCGTGAGAGGAGCCGCGACCGGCGCCGTTAGCCGCGCCGGCTTGGAGCTCTCCTTTGGGGGGGGGGCCTGGCAGGCACACCATCCGCGCCGAGGAGGAGGAGGAGGAGGAGGAGGAGGAGGAGGAGGATCGAAGAAGAAACAATTGCATACGCATGCTCCGCGAGAAGTTCTTGGATCTGCGCACTCCCCCCCTGGCGGCGCCTCAGGCGCCGCCCCTGGCGCGCTCCGCGCGCCAGGGGCGGGGGTCCAGCGCGGATCCAAGAAAGTTCATGTTCAAGGCCTTTTTCTGTTCCGCGAGAGGAGGAGGAGGAGGAGGAGGAGGAGGAGGAGGAAGACCAGGGGCAACGTTCTGGGGATAGGCTTAGGGGAGTACGCGTCGACCCCCAATCGCCCATTTGTCGCGGATAGGAGCCCGATAGCCCACCCCGCCCAGGAACGTGCGGAGTCGACATCGGGAGCGCATCGGCGATATATCGCCGATTGCAGGTCGATGCCCCCGCCCCCCCTCCCTAAGCCAGTCCCCCCCCTCTCAGAAGAGGAGGGCGAGGAGGACGAGGTGAGGAGGAGGAGGAGGAGGAGGAGGAGACGGGTAGGAGGGGCCTGCTGGCGGAGGAGGGTGACTAAGGAGGAGGAGGAGGAGGAGGAGGAAGAAGAGGAGGGAGAAGAGGGACGAGTGGGGGGAGGAAGCAAGGATATGGGCGATGGGAGGTGGAGGAGGAGGGCGAGAGAGGAGGAGGAAGTGGGGTTTGAGAGGGAGGAAAGGATGAGGAGATGAGGATGTAGACCAAGGGAGGTCGAGGAGGAGGGTGTCGTGGGAGCCTCAGTGGATGCCTTTGCGCAGGTAAGGGGAGAAGGGGGGAGAAAGAGGGGGAGGAAAGGATGAGGAAACGAGGGTGTAGACCGAGGGAGGTGGATGAGAAGGGTGAGGGACGAGGAGGGAGAGGAGGAAAATGACGAGGACGAGGAGGAGGAGGAGGAGGAAAAGGAGTAGGAGGAGGAGAGAGGATAAGTCTAGACGCTTCGCGTAACACCACCAGCCCGCGGCTGGTGCACGGCGGCACCGCTCTAGCGTGCGAGGCCGCAGGGAAACCCCCTCGGCCCGTCGCGCTCGGGTCAGCGTTCTCGGTGAGTCCTTCTTGCTGCTAGGCTCCGCATCTCGCGGCCACACCTGGCCTGCGACGGCCTGCCGCCGTTTTCCCCCGCCGCCCCAGCCTTGCGCATGAGGTCGCTGGGAAACACCCCCGACCCTGGACGCAGGTCTGCGGGCCTCCCTTTCGTCGCGGCCACCCTGGTCGCTCCCGAGGTTCGCCTGCTGGCCTCTCCTTATTTCGGGGATACCCCAGGACCCCCGGGCCCGCGGCTCGCCTTGAGTCTGCCGCCTCTGTCCGCCCGGGGTAGACGGACACCGGGTCCTCCCCCACGTCGCCTTCCCCAGGGCCTGCTCATGTCCCCTGGCGTTGGCTCTCGCCGACTCTTTCGCCGGTGGTTGGCTGCCTCTCGCCAGCTCCTCGCACCTGCTGCCCCTGGGCCGCCCTGTCGCTGCCTCCCCCCTGTCCCCCCGCCCGTGGTGGCGCTGCCGTCGTTTCCACGCCCCTCGTTCCGCCCCCTGTCGCCGTTTGGCGATCCGGACCCTACTCCGCTGAGCGCCTGCATGTCGTTGTTCGACGTCCTCATCGGTTGCGTCACGGCCGTCCTCTGCATTGGGCCCCTTTCTCGGTGCTGGCGCTGCAGTGGGCCATGTCCGCAGTCGCCTTCCTCGAGCTCGTGGACAACATGAATTTCGCCGTTTTGGTGTTGCACCTCGACCGGTGGTTCTTCCTGGTCTAGTCTACCGCGTCTCCTGAGCCGCAGCGTAGCTCGCTCCTGTGTGCTCTTTATTCGCTTCTTCCTCCGCGTCGTTCGCCTCGTTTTCCGCTTGTTTTCGCCCCCCTCGTGCCGCGGAATTTAAGCCGTTGCTAGTCAGCCGCGTTTCTTGACGGCGCCCGGCATCCCGTCGCGCTTGCGAACAAAAAAGTAGCCCCAGCAACCCATCCAGAAACGATGCCCAGAGGAAATGCCTCGATCAGGGAAGCGGGCAGCACACAGGAAGGGTCCCCCAGTGGAGGCGTCCTGGAGCGTCTTGGGGGCCCCTTGGCGGTCCCGGACGCCTCTTAGAGCGTCTTGGGTGCCTCGGAGAGCCTCTTGGGGCCTCTTGGGGGTGCCTCGGGAGCCTCTTGGAGGTCTCTTGGGCGCCTGTTGGGGTCCCCTGGGGCCTCCTTGGCGCCTATTGGGGCCCTCTTGGGGCCCTCTTGAAGCGCTCTTGGGAGATTTGGGAGCGTTCTTGGGGCCATCTTGGAGGGCATCGCTTAAAAAAGAGGGGAGCATGAATTAGCGTTGCCCTCGGAAGCCCAAAAAATCGCATCTTGGGGCGCTCTTGAATGGCTCTTGGGCGCTTTGGGGGCCGTCTTGGGGCTCTCTTGAGCCTCTCTTGGAGCCCTCTTGGGCCAGCGCGGAGCCATCTTGAGGCCTCGGATGGCCATCGGAAGCGAAAAGGCGAGAAAGCCAAAAACACTGAATGTCCTAAGGTTTTGGAAGGATGTTGGCCTCTTCGAGGCCTCCTGGGGGGAGTTCTTTGGCCACTTGGAGCCGTCTTGGAGCGGTCTTGGGGCCCCTTGGAGCATCGCGAGAGCCATCTTGAGGCATCTTGGGATATCTTGAGCCATACTGGAGGTCATCTTGGGCTCTCCCAGGCGCTCTTGGAGTCGCGTTGATCAGTGCCCCCCTCCAGGAAGCCAATATGCGACCAAAACCATAGTACAATCAATTATTTTGGCATTCTCGCCGAGGCCTCTTGGAGCGTCTTGGGTGCCCAGAGGGGCCTTTGGGAGGCCTCTTGGGGGTCTCTTGGGAGCCTCTTGGGGGCATCCTGGGGGCCTCTTGGGGGGGCCTCCTGGCCACCTCTTGGGGCCCTCTTGCGGCACCCTTGGGGGCCTTGGGAGCAATGTTTGGGCCATCTTGGGTGAGATCGATCAGAGGAGGGGAGGTCCCTAATTGTTCCCCCCCGGGGTGGCCAAAATGGTGCCAAAACCAATGATGTTGGTTTTCTCGCCGGGGCCGTTGTGGACGCTCCAACTACCCGCGGAACCCCCCCGTCCAGGTCCAGGAGAGGGGGCAGAGGGAGGGGCAAACCCTTCCCCGAAGGGGAAGAACGGGGTTGGAAGAGGAAGTTCTCTAGACCACCTTACGCCCTAAAGGGCTGGTGGGATTTGGTGGGGAGGGGGGGCGAAGAACGGCCAGGAGGAGGGCGAGGAGATCGTGCTCGCTCTCGGCATCCACCTCGCCCTCCTCCTCCCCTTTTCTGTTTTTCTCCTCCCACAGCGCGGACCAAACCCCGTACAAGCCTCAGGACCCCCTCTTCCTCTCGTTTCCCATTCTCGTCACCGAATTCAGCGCACTTTTTCATGTGAGTATGTCCCCCTCCCCCTTCTCGTTATTATCGCCTTCCTCCTCCTCCTCCTCATTATCCTTCTCCTCCTTCTCCTCGCCTCTCTCCTCCTCTTTCTCCTCCTCCTCCCCAGCGGATGATGGACCCCCTGCAGTTGTAATCATCCTCTGGAACTTCCTGGAATTCGGACCGCCAATCAGCATCTCCCACAAGTTGCACAATTATGTTCATCCCTCCGCCTCCTCCTGCCCCCTCCGCCTTCTCCAGTGTTGTCTACGTTTTGTATTGCCCCACCACTATTCATGCCCATTTTGCCTGCCTCCCCCACCTGTCCACGGCCTCTCTTCATAGACGGCGTCCCCCTCCATCTCTTTTAGTATTCCTCTTCGTCCTCGTCATTCCACCATCATCAGCAGCAGCAGCATCACCATCATCTTCCGACTCGTAGTACAACTATTAGAATACACTAATACTCTTCTCTGCCTCATCATCATCTCTTCGTCCGTCTCATCACCCTCCTAATCCCCATGTTCCTTTCCACCTCATGACCATTGCTTGCTAGTGTTCCCTGTCCTCCTGATACTACTACTTCCACCACTACCGCCAGTACTACTGCTACTACTGCTACTACTGCTACTACTGCGACTGCTACTACTACTACTACTACTACTACTACTACTACTACTACTACTACTACTACTACTACTACTACTACTACTACTACTACTACTACTACTACTACTACTACTACTACTACTACTACTACTACTACTACTACTACTACTACTACTACTACTACTACTACTACTACTACTACTACTACTACTACTACTACTACTACTACTACTACTACTACTACTACTACTACTACTACTACTACTACTACTACTACTACTACTACTACTACTACTACTACTACTACTACTACTACTACTACTACTACTACTACTACTACTACTACTACTACTACTACTACTACTACTACTACTACTACTACTACTACTACTACTACTACTACTAACACTAATACTACTGCGATTCTTTCTACGACGACTACCACTACTACTCCGACTACTACTACTACTACTACTACTACTACTACTACTACTACTACTGCTACAACGACTACTACGACTACTACAATTACTACAAGTACAACTACTATTACTACTACTACTACTACTACTTCTACTACTACTACTACTACTACTACTACTACTTCCACTACTACTACTACTGACTACTGCTACTTCTACTACTACTACTACTACGACTACTACTACTACTACTACTGGCTACTGCTACTACTACTACTACTACTACTACTACTACTACTACTAGTATTCCTGCTACTACGACTCCTACTACTACTACTATTGCGACTAGAACTACTACGACTACCACTACCACGACTACGACTACTACTACTACTACTACTACTATTTTTTGACTACTACTACTACTACTACACTACTCGACTACTACTATACTACTATTTTTACTACGACTACTACTACTACTACTACTACTACTACTACTACTACGACTACTACTACTACGGCTACTACTACATACTACGGCTACTAACGACGACGGCAAATGTTACGACTACTGCTAACTACTACCACCACACTACTACCACTACTAACTACTACTACTACTAGCTACTACTAACTACTACTAGT